TCCAGAACAGAGAGGTGCGCTTCTCATTGGTCACAAGGGAGCAAGGACTCTGGTCACGTTTCCAGGACTGAGAAGAGCACTAGTACTTATGGGTGCAGGGGAACAGGGGCCCTTCCTAGGTAAAGACTGGAGCACGGACCAGAGGAGCCATGACTATACTTCTCCTGAGATCACACTTCCTTGGAACCACCAAAAACTTGCAGACCCCCAGAGCTAGCTCTGAAAGCAGCAGTATGAAAAAGCCTAAAGCTTGGCGTAGTGCCTCCCCAGCCCAGGTGAGCAGAGAGCTCAACTTTATGTTAAAGTTCAAAATTAAAAAATAGACTAGAAAAGCAAGCAAACAACAAAAAAAGAAACTGACCGTAAAAAGGTACTATGGTGGCAGGGACCAAGACAAAACAAACACCCAGAAGACAACAATGTGAAAACAGCTACGAGCAAAGTCTTAAAGAAAAATGCTTATTGGGCCCAAAACCAAGAATTCCTGGAAGAATCTTTTTAAAAAAAAGATGAGTGGTAGAGGAAAAAATGAGAGTGGTGCCAGAAAATCATGAAAAAAATGAACAGTTTGGTAAAAGAGGCACCAAAAATGTTGGAGAAAATAACACCTTATAATCAGAATTGATTTTGAATCTCTTTTGAAAGAGACCCCAAAACGAAAACTACGCCAAAAGGATAGCCAAATCTCATAGCTCCCAGGTCAAGGAGAAAATATTGCAAGTATCCAGAAAGAAACAATTCAAATATTGTGAAGCCACACTCAGGATCACACAAGGTTTAGCAGCTTCCATGTTAAAGGAGCAGAGAGCTTGGAGTATGATACTCCAAAAGGTAAAGGAGCTAGGATAACAACCAAGAATAACCAACACAGCAAAACCGAATATAATCTTTCAGAGGAAAAAATGGATATTTAATGAAATAGAGGATTTTCAAGCATTCCTGATGAAAAGACCACAGTTGGATAGAAAATCTGACCATCAAACACAAGACTCAAGAGAAGCATAAAAACATAAACTTGAAAAACTAATCACTAGGGACTTGATAAATTAATCTGTTTATATTCCTATATGGGAAGACGATACATGTAACTTCTAAAAACTTTATCATTAGTAGAGCAGTTACAAGGTATTTACATTGACAGAGGGCATGAATGTGAGTCGATTATGTTATGATGATCTCAAAATATATGAAGGGGTGAGAAAAAGGGATGTACTGGGAGAAAGAAAAAGGGAGAGGTAGAACGGGGAAAATTTTCTCACATAAAAGAATATATAAGGAAGAGCATTTATAGAGGAGGGGAAAATGGAGGAGAAGTGGTGGTGCTTGAATCTCATTCTCTTTGGAATTGACTCAAAGAGGAAAGCACACACACACACACACACACACACACACACACACACTCAGTTGGGTAGAGAAATCTATCTTACCCAAAAGGGAAACAGGAGGGGAAGAGGAAGATGACAAAAGACAGAATAAATTAAGAGAGGCAGAGATCAGAAGCAAAAGACTTTTGAGAAGGGGCAGGATAAAGAGAGAGAGAGGGAAGGATAAAAAGAAGAAAACAAGATGGAGGGAAATGAAGTTAGTAATCATAACTGAATGTGTATGGGATGAATGAGCTCACCCATAAAATGGAAATGGATAGAAGAATGGATCAGAAGCCAGAATCCAACAAAATGTTCTTTACAAAAGACACACTTAAAACACACAGAGAGTTAAAATAAAGGGCTGGAACAGATGTGCTTCAGCTGAAGTAAAAAAAGGCAGGTGTACAATCACGATCTCAGACAAAACAAAACAAAAAAGAGACCCAATTAAAAGAGACAATCGGGGAAACTACATATTGCTAAAAGGTACTATAGACAATGAAGCAATATCAAAAGATTTCACAGCAAGTTTCTCTGACAAAAGCCTCATTTCTCAAATAATTATGGAATTGAGTCAAATTTAAGAACCATTTCCCAACTGATAAACGGTCAAAGGATCTGCATAGGCAATTTCAGAAGAAGAAATCAAAGTCATCTACAGTCATATGAAAAAATGCTCTTAATCCCTATAGATTAGAGAAATGCAAATTCAGACAACCCTGAGGTACCACCTTACACCTATTAGAAATGACAAATTCTGGAGGGGAATGGGGGGAAATAGGTACACTAATAAACTGCTGGAGGAACTGTGTACTGGTTCAAACATTCTGGAGAACAATTTGTAACCATGCCCAAAGGGCTATAAAACTTTGTGTACCCTTTGATCCAGCGATACCACCAAGTCTGTACTCCAAAGCGATTAAAAAGGGGAGGAAGGACCCATGTTTATAAAAATATTTACAGCAGCTTTTTTTGTGCTAGCAAAGAATTGGAAATTGAATGGATGCTATCAGTTGGGGAACAGCTGAATAAGATGGGCATATGACTGTGATGAAATATTCTTGTGCTATAAGAAATGCCAATGAGCGTGGTTTCAGGAAAACGTGGCAAGTCCTATATGAACTGATTTAAAGTGAAGGAAGAAGAACCAGGAGATCATCGTGCACAGTAACAAAGCTGTAATGAGGATCAGCCATGAAAGACTTTGCTATTCTGAGCAATACAATGATCTGAGACATTTCTAAAGGACCTATGATGAAAGCAGCTAGGTGGCACAGTGGACTGGGCTGGAGTCAGGAAGACTCGTCTTCCTGAGTTCAAATCTGGCCTCAGGCACTTCCTAACTGTGGGACCCTGGGCAAGTCACTTAACCCTATTTGCCTTAGTTTCCATATCTGTAAAATGAGCTGGAGAAGGCAATGGCAAACCACTCCAGTATCTTGGCCAAGAAAATCCCAAATGGGGTCATGGAGAGGTAGACATGACTGAAATGATAGAACAGTAGCAGGATGATGAAAAAATGCTATCCATCTCCAGAGAGAGAACTGATGAACTTGGAATGAAAACTGAAGTCTAATTTCCTTTTTTCTTCCTTCCTTCCTTTTCTTTCTTTCTTTCATATGGCTAATATGGAAATATGTTTCACCTGATTTCACATATATAATTGATATCATTTTCTCACCTCAGCAAATGGGGGAGGGCTGGGAAGGAGGCAGGGAATTTGGAATTCAAAATTTAAAAAAGAAAAGGATATTAAAAATAAAGAAATAATGAATGTCAAATAATAAATTAAAAAAGAAAAGTCATTCAATCAATGAATAAGCATTTATTAAGTGTCCACTATGTGCTCCACACTGGGGATATAAGACAAGAATGACATAGCTCTTTAATGATAGGATTAAATTAATTAAATTAAGTTAATTGACAAGTACTTCCTAGGTGCCAGTGTACTGATTAGCACTGGAGATAAAAAGAAAGACAAAAATGCAATACCTGCCCTCAAGGAGTTTACATTCTAATGGAGGTTAAAGGGAAAGATTAAAGGTACCTACTATGTCCCAGGTACTGTCCTAAGTGCTTTACACTTATTATTTCTTTTCATCCTCACAACAGTCATGGGAGGTAGGTGCTAATATTATCCCCATTTTATAAATGAGGAAACTGAGGCAGATAAGAGTGTCTGACTCTTTCTGACCTCATTCAGGGTTTCTTGGCAAAGATACTACAGTGGCCTGTGATTTCCTTCTCCAGCTGATTTTACAGATAATGAACGGAGACAAACAGAATTAAGTGACTTACCCAGGGTCACACAGCTAGAAAGTATCTGAGGCTAAATTTGAACTCAGGCCTTCCAGACCCCATCCCTGATGTTCTATCTGCTGTAGTATCAGAAAAATTATATTGCCCTAGCTGATATGAATTCAACTCAGAATTTCAGAATCTGAAGGGTATTGAGTAGTACAGACGAAGAGCAGGTTTTGGAGCTAGGAAGACGAGTTCAAATCCAGCCTCTGATACTTAGTAGCTCGGTGACCCTGGACAAATAAATCACTTAACCTCTTAGTCTCAGTTTCTCCACCTGTAATACGGGGATACTAATAGCACCTATCTCTCAGTGTTGATCAAATGAGATGACACAGGTAAAACACACTCCAAATTTAAATATGTTAGCTGTTATTATTATTATTAATTATTAAATCTACCTCCTTGCTACTTCTAGTCATTGTCTCTAGTTCTGCCAAAGACAGCCAGTCTGATCCATCTTCTGCGTGACAGCTCGTCAGTCTTTAAGACGACTCCTGTCCATGCCCCCTCGAGCCTTGACTTCTCAAGCCCGAAGTCACCTGGATTCTGCCCCTGGCTTTGACATTAATTTACTGTGGCCCCGTGGGCACTGGGCCTGATTAGGCCTGGGTCTTGTTCATCTGTAAAATCCCTAAGCATGATGAGAAATCAAGAGATCTCAAATCTGGAACCGGAAGGGACCTTGGAGGGGGCCACTTGTCCAACCCCTTCATTTTACACAGAAGGAAACAGAGGTTCAAGGAGATTAAGGTATAGTAAGCTTCAGAGGTGAGATATGAGCTGTATATAAAAGCAATTACATCAAAAAAAAAAAAAAAAGTTCCAAGTGGAACAAAGGGAAGGTAAGAAGGTGTGAACTCCACTCAGCCCTAAGGATACCTCACTGCCCCCACCCTCTCCCTCTCCATCTCCCGCATTCTGTGTTCACCCCCAGGTGGACTCTTCTGCCTTGGCAGGCACAGTGTGTGTGTGTGTGTGTGTGTGTCTGCATGCTTCCACACACGCACACACCTGCAAATGTCAGAATGGGGGTGGGACGAAAGACGTACTTTCCTCTTGTCCTTTGGGCTCACCCGTATTGCTCTCGCCTGGAAGAGGAATCACACATTCCCAGCTCCCTAGTATGATGCTCTGTGTGTGGGGGAGGTATTGGGGGGGTGGTTTAGAAAGTCTTAGGGAGTGCCTCAGGTTTCGGCTCACCTTCCCTCACCCCCAACGGCCTCAGAAATGCAATGCCATAAGGGGACACGGTAAGGATGCCAAGCCACGCCTTCAAGCCAGCAGCAGGTCTCTGCAGGATCAAGTGTGGCTCAGACAAACATGGCTTACCTGTTGCGTTGGACAGTGCCAGCGATTCCATGGAGCCCCGGGGGGTTTGCTCTGTAGGCGTGAGATCCTCCGTATACTTCATTGCACTGAGCGGATGGCGGGTGCGGCAGGGCTGGGAGGACATGCCTCCTTCCTCTTCCTCCTCCTCATATTTGGGGACTTTGATATTTCCTCGGGTTTCACTAAAGCTCTGATTGGACATATCGCTATAGCTCTCTTGGGAGCGCAGCCTGGCCGGGTAATAGTCCTCCCGACATTCCTTCATGAAGCTGCCGCTGTGTCCCTTCATGGCCAGGGATGAGCTCCTTTTGGGATTGCTGAAATGCTTTCCCCACATGTCGGGCTGCGCCGCCGCCACCACCTGTGCGGGGTTATAGGAAGTTCTCATGTTGCACTGGCTAAGGAGCTGCATGGGGCTCTGGGACGGGCTCTGCTCCATCTTATTCCCATAGTGGTACAGCTCGTCTCGGCTCCGCCAGACGTGCTCCCTGTTGAGGCTGGGCGTCTGGCTCGACAGGCTGAGCAGATCCATCTGCAGGGACAGGGGGTCCACGTCGGCCGAGAGCCGGTTGGAGGTCACCTGCAGCTGGCCACACGGATTCAACAGGGACTCCTCCGCCTTGCCTTTGTTCTTACCGATTTTGGCACTGCGCCGGGACTCCTTGGCCCGGGCGTTCTGAAAGGCAGAATCTGATGAGTCAGAGCCGTTGGGATCCTCCCCTGCGCTACAGGCACGTGAGCAGAAGATCTGGCCTTGCTTTGGCAGGAAGGGACGCCCCAGGAGAGATTTCTTGCAGTGAGCACAGCAGAAGCAGGTTTCAGTGGCATGCCAGTGCTGGCCATCGTAGGTCATCTGACCTTGGTCAATACCTGGGGGAGGACAAGAGGGAGAAAGCATAAGTCTTCAGCCCCAGGACCCCATCCTACAACCTGAAATTCCTCTTCTATCCTTAACTTGGGGCAGCATGCTTTAGTGGAAAGCACCCTGGCTCTGGAGTCAAAAGACCTGGATTTGAATCTTGCCTCTGAATCTTACTTTTTAAAAAAAATTTTTTTTTAATGTTTAGGCAATTGGGGTTAAGTGACTTGCCCAGGGTCACACAGCTAGTAAGTGTCAAGTGTTTGGTCTGAGGCCGGATTTGAACTCAGGTCCTCCTGACTTCAGGGCTGGTGCTCTATCCTCTGCGCCACCTAGCTATCTCTTAAATCTTACTACCAAGGGACTTTAGATAGGTTATTTAAATCTCTTTGGGCTTCAGTTTCCTCTTCCATAAAATAAGAGGCTTGAATCAATGATGTACTCAACATATAAATCGTGGTTTCATTGCATATCCATACCATGTGACTCAATGATAATGTCCAAATCTGGCAGGTGACAGCCTATATGCTTTCTGTCTGAAGACCAGGCTAGCTAAGTTCAGACTGGCTAGCCCTCAGCAGCAGGCTAGCCCCCAGCAGCAGGCTAGCCTCTGCCACCATGCAGACAGTCTAGAAATAATAACAGTTAATAACAGCTACCATTTGTAAGGCACTTACTATGTCCTGGGCACTGTGCTTTACAATTATTATCTCATCCGAGCCTCACAACAACACTGGGAGGAAGGTGATAAAAATAGCAATAACAGCTAACACTTACACAGCTCTTACTATGTGCCAGGCACTGTGCTAAGCACTCTACAATTCTTATCTCATTAGATCTCATCCTCACAACACTAGGAGACAGGTGCTGTTATTATCTCCATTTTTACAGATGAGGAAACTGAGACAAGCAGGAGTTAAGTGACATGCCCATGGTCATACAGCTAGTGTCTGAGGTCACACTTGAACTCAGGTCTTTCCGATTCCAAGGGCAGCTGGGTGGCACAGTTCACTGAGCACTTGGGCCTTAAGTGAGGAAGACTCATCTTCCCGAGTTCAAATCTGGCCTCAGACACTTTGTAGCTGTGTGACCCTGGGCAAGTCACTTAATCCTGCTTGCCTCAGTTTCCTCATCTATAAAATGGGTTAAAGAAGGAAATGGCAAACCACTCTAATATCCATGTCAAGAAAACCCCAAATGTGGTCACAAAGAATCAGACACGACTGAAACAACTGAAAAACAACAACAACTTTCTGACTCTAAGCCAGAGTGCTATGCGATGTACCACCCAACTACCCAATGACACAAAGGTCATAGGACCAGAGACTTAGAGCTGAATGGGACCTCAAGGGCTTTCTAATCCAGTCCCTTCTCTTTACAGATGAGAGAGCCGAGGTCAGAGGAGATGACTGACTTGTCCAAGGTCACGAGGTCACAAAGGAGGGATTTGGACCCAGGCCCTCTGACTCCAGAGCCAATGAGCTGTCCACTGTATCTCACACTGATGAAGTCACAAAGCCTTGAAGCACTAATCTCATGAAAGCCTCCACACCCAGCCCCTACTTTCCTCATATTAAACATGACTCATTTCCTTTAAGGAAAGATGTCTTGGTGGAAGAATCTAAAGGAATAAACTGGCTTGGCTGGTTGGCTTGTCATTCTACAAGCAGCCTATGTCATCATCACCAGGTATTCACAAAAGCCCTAGGATGAGCCCCTGCCCTTGGCAGGACACACCTCTCTGAGCCTAACCAAGAGCCAGAGCTGGTCTGCTGATGGTCCTTGGGAATCACTTCTGCCAGACAGGCCTGGCTGTACAGCCTTGGAACAGGAGGTTGAAAGGGTGAGAGAAAGAGGCAGGAGTCTGGAGGACCTGGGGGAGCAGAGAGAAAAGCAGAGAAGGCAGTTGGAGCAGAAAGGGCATCAGTGCTAGAGGTTAGAAAACTCAGCCTTTCAGCTTCTCCCCGAGTGACTTCAGACAAGCTGGTCTAACCCTCTGAGCCTCGGTGTCCTCAGCTATAAAGTGGGGGTAATAACGTCACCTCCATCTAACTATGATAACAGAAGAGTCCAAGAAAGGGCTCCTGCAGGATGTCAGATTTGAGGTGAACCTTGAAGGACGAGGCAGGAATGAGGGGGAAGAGAATTCTGGACATGGGACAATGCTGAAGTAAAGGCTGGCGCTGGGCAAGTCCTTGAAAAACTACTCAATCATAAAAATTCATCTAAGTTACTTAGCCACTCTGTGCCTCAGTTTCCCCATTTGTGAAATGAGGGGTTGGATTAGAGGGGCTCCACTGTCCACCTGAACTCTTCGTCAGTGATCCTGTGATTGAAAATGCCCTTCCTTCCCCCAGCAGGTGGAGGGAGTGGCAATGACAAAGGGCCATGGATGGGTCTTTATTCTTTAGAATGGGAAGACAAGCAGGAAAGTCATTTTCCTCATTAAGGTCTTGAAAACCCTTCTTCTCAGCAGGTAGGAAATAATTCCAACCTATTTACAGACTGACCGTCCTCAAAGTAGGGCTCCCAAGCTAACATCATTTTCTTAAGATCGACTTTTAATGATGCAGCAGTGGGAAACCAAGCAAGGATGTGGCTGGCGAGATTCTGAGCAAGGCAGGGAAAAACCCTTCTCTTTTACCATCCCTGCTGTGCCCCTGCTATGAGGGTTCCATACGAGTAAGAGGAGACAGGCTCTGGTCACACTATCCCCTCATTAATTTCATCCACGAACAATGTGGGGAGTGGTATGGTTTCTATTTTTGAGTGGGGATTTAAGGAATATGCCGGGGTGGGGTTGAGGAGGGGGTTCAGGGGTAGCAAGGAAAGGAGGTGCAAAGTTGGAAGGACTGCTCCCAAGGGAGGCAGCTCTGTGAACTAACTGGGAGAAGAAGGCCACTCCTTGGAAGTTTCTGCACCCCTACTGCTGGCCCAGAACAAGAATCTGAGAAGACATGGGTCAGTATCACTGCTCCTTGGTGGGACCAGATGATCTGCAACCACGCTCTCCTCTATACCTTTCCCTGGAGAATCCCAGGATCCCACCACTTCCAACGCCTGCTGACCAGCTGTCCTCTTTCCTCCCAGCATCCCTGGAGCAGTTCACCAACAGATGGGGAAACTGAGGCCAGGGACATTATGAGAGCTGGCCAAGGTCCCATGAATAGTGTCGCAGAATAGGGATTCTAGGGGGTTCTGTCTGTCCTCAGCATCGTTGGAATGCCCAGAGTCCCTTACAAAGATTCCCGATCCAGGCCTGCCTACCCTCCTACACAGTCTCAGAACTTCTCCTTCTCCCAGGTTGTGTCTTTTTCTCTGAGGGAAAGGGCTAAGACTGACCCTGGGATTTCACTGGTTAAAGGGACTCCCAGGTAAGGAAAGCTCCCCCTACCAATACAGACCAACAAGTCCGTGTCTGAAAGACTATTTGTTCTCTTAGGGACTAAAGCTAATTCAGCTGGGTGGCATCAGGATGTAGATGAAGGAGGTGGGGTCAGTGACTGGTAATGGTTCCCGTAGTTCCTGGACCTGGGACAGGATTGCATATTTATAAGTGCCGCACAGCTCTTAAAGCACTGTAGAAACATGAGGTATTATTATTTGAAATTACAATGACATCAACATTGTCTTTAGGGTTTCCAATGCACTTTGCACGCCTTACCTTACCCAACCCTCCCTACAACCCTGTGAGGCTAATTAGGGTTAGAGGTGGAAGAACATTTTGATCCCCATTTTTACAGATGAGGGAAATGAGTCAGCTTAGAGAGACAGTCATTTGCTCAAGGTCACCTAGCTAGAAAGCAGAAGAGCCAAGATTCAAATTGAGACTGTCTGGCTCTTCCCATGACCCTGTCTGTTTTTAAAATGTTCTAGGTGGGAAATGATGTACCTCCCTCCCTTGACCACAGAGGTGGGGAGCTATAGATGTGGGTGCCAAGCAATATACAAAGACTGGTGGACTTGGAGGAGACCTGAGTTCAAATCCAGCCTCTGACACTTACCAGCTGTGTGACCCTTAATTTTCATTTGCCTTATCTCAATTGACCCTCTCAACAACCCTAGTAAGATGGGTGTTATTATTACCTTCATTTTACAGATGAGGAAACTGAGGCAAACGAGTTGAAATGACTTGCCCAGTGTCCCACAGCTAGTAAGTGTCTGCAGCTGGATTTGAACTTAGGTCTTCCTGACTCCAGGCTCACCTGGGGTCTGTATACTAGTGACACCACATAGCTATAATCTTGAAATATAATTGCAGACTGGAGCAAGAGGCAAGTTATAGGAAGAATGCTGAATCTGGAGCTGGAAGACCTGGATTCCAATCCTGTTCTTCCCAGTTACTTGCTTTGAGACTGACCCACCCAGAGGGGGCTCCAAGAACGCCCTAAGCTTGGTAACTCGGCCCGTGTCGAGGCTAGGATCCTCTTAGTTCTCTCACATTTTACACTTTCCAAACTATCACTTTGGGGCACCCACAGGGAGGCAGACACACCGAGGCCAGTGCTGGTCAGAGCTCACACAAAGCATCAGCCCGGCTTCCCCGGAGCACTCAAAACGGCCAGGTTCCCTCTAGCTTCTGCATGAACGCTGCCCGCCACCCAAAGTAGCTGTTCTGAGGAGAGCTCACTGGCCAGAAGAACTACTTCTTCTGGAGTAAGAGGAAAGACTATTGTGACTGCTGGACGTGGTTCCCTTCCCCCACCTCCCCCAGGGCCAGATCTTTTCCCAGACCATGCTCCCAAACTCTTATTCTATCCCAGCCTCTAATTAGGTTTCTGAGAATGAACAGGATCAGTGATTTGGAGCTACAAGCTACCGTAAAGGCCATCTAGTATAATCCCATCATTTTACAGATGAGAAAACTGAGGTTAAATAAATTACTCAAGGTCACATTGCTAGTAAGTGACGGAGGGTGGATCTGAACCCAGGTCTTCTGCCTCCAAACCCAGTACTCTCTGACACAGAGGAAGATTCCTCTCCAACTGTTCTCCTTTGGGGCAGGGTGTTCCCGTCATGTTTTTATGAGGCCAGAAGAGAAGAAGGTCCATGGTTTCTCTCCCCTGGGCTGACCAATAGAGACAGCTGGGGCCTGACAAAGATGGCAGTCCTGAGTAGTTCTGGCTTGTGGGGGCCTCAAAAGAGGAACGTTGGGGGGGCTTGGGGGGAGAAGCAGCCAATGTACGTGAGCAGGCCGCAGCATCAACGCCCACAGCTTGGGATGCTCCGCTGACCCACTCTTGAACCCCACACATCTGGAAATGGGCCTGTCCCTTCCACGTCCAGATCGGCCTTCTTTACAAGGCCTGCAAGCATTTTTCTGAGAGTGCATATGCCCACGGCTGCTCCATCCCTATGTCTGTTTATAGGACTGTTTACTCGGCCGGGTGCGGGGAAAGAAGACCGTTTCCCTAGCAACCAGTCCCTGGTATGAGTATGCAGGGAGCTGCTGTATAAATATGGGATATCTGGATAAGGGGGATCATTTGAAAAGCTCTGGGACTGTGTGTAAGAACAAATTTGCAAAGCACCACACTTTTACTGGGGGAAGGAAAATTCTCTTTTGCAGCAAAGCCTGCATCTTCTTCACAGCGGAGGATATTTTTAGCCTTGCCGTCCAATGAAATTACAGGCAGTTGATGAGGATGACTGCACCTTTCCCATAAAACTTAGACCCTCCCCTCTTTTTTACAGAAAAAGGAAGAGAGGGAGGGAGAGTCATACTGTGTTTGAGAGGACGGAAGGAAGCAAGGGACCCAATAAATTCGGCATTCTGGGGTCAGCTGGACCTCCCTCTGCAGCTGGGTGGCCACGCTCTCCCTCCCCAGACACACTGGTGGGGGGTGAGCTGGCCCTTATCATCAGAAGACACGCCCCACATTGATAATTCCCATTGCTGAAGAAGCCAGTTTCTATCGCTCTACAGTAATTTCTGTGTTTTTCTGAGCTCTTAGGTTCATGGACTTACAGGTCAAGCCAGTCTACTCTTACCACTTTACAGATGAAGAAATTGAGACTTGTAGAGGCAAAGGCACATTGGATCATAGGTTTCTAGACTGTGAGCTGGGAAGGATCTTGGAACTTGATCAAGTCTAGGCCTCTCAGGTTATACACGAGGAAACCGAGGACCACAGCATGTATCTATTTTTTTTTTTCTACAGAGCTGAAATGAGTTAGGTGCATGGATTTTGAGCTGGCAGGGCCTCATAGGCCATTTGGCCCATCCCCTCTAAAGAGGAGGGGAGAGAGAAGGAGACATTTTATGTAAAAGATGACAGATCTAAAACCAGAGGCCGTCTGCTTTAACCCCCTCACTTTACAGATGTGGGAAGTGGGGCCCAGGAAGATCACCAAACAGAAGATTCACTAGAAAAGTAAATCCTATCCCTGCTCTTCATCAGAACCTGCCCTCCCTCCCCACCCCTCCAACATCCCATTACTCAGCTGCTCTTGATAACCCTCCCTGGGCAGCAGCATCTTCATCTGTAAAATAAAAGCACTGGCCTAGATGGCCTTGGAGAGACTCCAGATCTAAGATCCCCACCATTTGCTTAAGATTCTCCCCTAGGATGCTTCCTTCTCCCCACACGCACACTCCTGGGAACCGATGCCCCTGGCGCTTTTCTCACTTCTCCAAAGCATGATGCTTTCTTTGGAAAAGCAAGGACTTCTCCCCCTCCTCTTTTTGGGGAGGGGGAAGAGTAGAATTAGGTCAATTTGTACAGTGGCAGATCAGTGCGCGAGAGGATGCTTTGGAGTAAAAGTATTCTCCAAGGCAAGCGTCTTGAAAGTCAGGGCTGAGGAAAGACACAGACCAGGCTTTGAAAAGCCAGTGCTGAATGACTAAGCAATCCCCAGGCACCCAGTCGGGCACAGACAGGGCTGCTGATCTTTATCAGCCTCACGTCTGACCCCCAGGGCCCCCCATCCCCGCTGCCATAGGAAAAAAAAAAGCTCCCAGGATTAGTCACCATATGAACAAATCCCTTCTGATGACACAGGGGGAATTTCACGAAAAAACAACAACAGCCCTTCCTATCCACCCCCCCTTTTCTCTGTCCAGCTGAGTGCTCTCCCTTATCATAATGACTCCTAAGCGGGCCTAAACGGCTTGGCACACTATCTCTCCATCTACTTCCTTCAGGTAAAAGTTGGCAGATACTAAAGAGACGTCCTGGAATTGCAAAAGCAACACAAAGCAACCGTGCTGCCCCGGCCTCCATCCCCCACAAGCCTCCTCGCCGCCCCAGTCCTTGCAGGAGGTTCCCCTGGGCTCTGCGGGGCAGGCAGAACGGCTACCATGCTGACCTCTGGGCAGGGGAGGCCCTGGCCCCCTTCTCCAATCAGTGCCCAGCCTGTCAAGGAGGCGCTGGGAGGAAGCCCCTCGTCTTCTGCTTAAAGGACTCGTGACGCGTGGGGTAGATCTGTGGCCGCACTGTCGTTTCCCAAAGGCGTGGGGGTCAGAGGGTCACCAGTGAAGTGGACCTCGGAGGCCATACAGGCCAACCCTCTGCTTTAGCTACCTTGTACACATTTGTTTTTATTCACTTTATATTTATATGTGTGTGTGTGTATGTGCACGCACACACAGTAAAATATATGGAATATGTTATACAGATATAGTACAGATATGATGTATACATATGTGTGTATGTATGCTTCATTTCTGAGCATGATAAGACCATTGATTTAGAGCTACAAGCGACCTTAGAGGCATTCTCTCTCATACACACATACACACACACACACACACACACACACACACACCCCTTAGAGCCCCTATACATAGGTATCTCTAACTTTTCTAGTACCTCTAAATCAATGATCCTATCATCCTCAGAAATTTTACATACACACACACACACACACACACACACACGTATACACTCTCAATACATATTGAGAGAGAAAGGGAGGATATATGTGTAAGATTTCTGAGGATGGCCTCTAATGTATACATTACATTTATATATTAAAATATATAATATTTTAATACATGACTATTATTATAGAGGCCAATCAACTGATACACACACCCACATACAGCATATCTTTATACGTACTTGTTCTCTCCCCCATTAGAACATTAGCTATTTCAGCGTCGGGAGTGTCTCACTGCTGGGACCTGTATCCCTAATGCCTCTCCCAGGCAGCGAGTAACAGAGCTGAGATTTGAGCGCTATCACTCTACCACATCACCTTCAAGTCGCCCCTTCCCCGGACACGCCAAGGCCCAGGGTTTGGAGGGTGGCAGGCAGGGGGCCTTACCTATGTGCTGGGCACAGGCGTCACAGTACTCCGCGTACAAGGATTCGAAGCAGCGGCAGCAATAAGGTCTCCCCTCCTTCATGATGTAGCGCTGACCACCCAGCACCGCTTCACACTCAAAACAGCAGAAATGCTTCATGTGCCAGTGCCGGCCCTCAGCCTCTGTGCATTCGTCCGCGAAGATGATCTGGGGGTGGGAATAAAGCCAGGCTTATCTGTCAGGAATGCCAGCAAGCATGGAAGGGAGTGATGTGACCCTGGGCAAGTCACTAAACCCTACTGGCCTCAGTTTCCTCATCTGTAAAATGAGCTAGAGGACATGGCAAACCACTATAGGATATTTGCCAAGAAAACCCCAAAAGGGTTTTGGTGAGAATGCTCCCAGTTGGACATTTTGGCCATTGGGATGGGTGGGACTCGTGTCATTTTGTCTCATAAGTTTAAAAAAAAAAAAAAGATGGTGGAATCTCCTAGATTTCCTAACTGTGAAAGCTCCCTGTAGCCAGGCAGCTGAAAGGCATGGGGATGACTCTGGCGGAGGCATCTGGTGGCACAAATCTGGGCTACGGTTAGCCAGAGGAAGGTTGCAGGACTGGAAGGGCCCACGCTTACCTCATCACAGGCTGCGCAGCGAGGTTTCAGGCATTCAGCATGGTGCCTGCCACAGTACATCTTCCCATCTTGGTAGAAATAGATCAGGTCCACCAGGAGCTCGTTACAAACCGTGCACATGAAACATGAGGGGTGCCAACACACCCCATGCCCAGCTCTCGATGCAAACACAGCAATGTCACCTCCATTAATCTGGCCTCCACACTGTAGGAGAAAGGAAGAGGAGCACTGGGTGAGAAGGCTGTGTATTCCCTCCAAGAGGTCCTGATGGGACACTGGGATTGGCAGGGCAGGGAATCCTCTCCCTAGAGAAGGATGACCTCCTTTTGGTCAGAGTAAGGTACAACTAGCAGACTTCAGAGAATTTTAGCTTGGTTTCCACTGATACGTATACAAATGTTTTGTTATTATTGTTGTTATTCAGTTGTGTCTGGTTCCTCGTGACCCCATTTGGGGTTTTCTGGGCAGAGATACCAGAGGGGTTTGACATTTCCTTTCTCAGCTCACTTTTACAAATGAGGAAACTGAGGCAAACAGGATTAAGTGACTTGCCCAGCACCACACAGCCAGTAAGTATCTGAAGCCACATTTGAACTCAGGAAAATGAATCTTCCTGACTCCAGACCCAGGATGATATCCAAGGTACTACCTAATCACTCCATATTTGTGTGTATTTTTTTTGGAGAGGCCCAGCCTGTGATTACAAACATGCAAGGGAACTCTCAGTGTAGAAACTCTCTCTGCCAAAGTAGATCATCAATTTTTCCACAACTTACAGTCTTAAAGAATTGCCTGGAGAGGTTAAATGTCTTTCCAACAGTCACTAAAATGCCTGTATATGTCAGAGAGGGAAACTGAGTCAAAGTCTTGCCGTCTCCAAGGCTGGCCCTCTAGCCAATATTTTGAGCTGCCTCTAATACAGATTGTTATGAATATATAACTTTGGATCTGATGTCAAAAATTCATAGCACTAACCACATTCCTCCCTGGGATGAGGATTCATGGAAGTACAAATGACTTTGGCCCTCTTCTCAAATAAGATCCCTTTTTCTCTTCACTACTTCAACCCCAGAGACCTCCCATTTCATAGGATCATAGGATAAAAGATTTGGAGATGGAAAATACTTAGGGGAAAGAACTTAGCCCAACTCCCTCATTTTTAGGGGGACCTGGGGCAAAGAGAAGTTAAATGACAGGGGAAATATTAAAAAAAAAAAAAGTAACAAGTAGAGAGGTGAGATTTGAACTTAGGTCTCGACTCTAAATCCTGCCCTTTGCACCGTGTTCTTACCATACCACTTTTCCCCCTCTAAAATACTTAGAAGAACTCTAAGCCAGGATTACTCTCTCATACAAGATTCCTCTCCTTTCTTCTCTACCATTTTGACATTGCTTCTTCCTCTTTTTAAAATTTTTAAATTTATTTTTAACATTCATTCAAAAAAAATTTGAGTTCTAAATTCTCTCCCTCCCCCACCCCTTCCCCACCCATTGAGAAGGCAGGCAATATGATATCAATTATACATATGAAGTCATGCAAAATGTATTTCCATATTAGTAATGTTGCAAAAAAGCAAGAAATATAAAGTGAAAAAAATCTGCTTTGATCTTCACCCAGGGTTAATCAGTCCTTTCTCTGGAGGTGGCGAGGCTTTTTCATCATGGGTCCTTGGGAATTGTCTTGGATCACTGTGTGACACTGCTTTTGTGGTATGTGCCCCCATCAGGATGGGAGCTCCTTAGAAATTATTTTTACCTTTCCTTGTATCACCAGCTCAGATTCTCACACATAGTACTTAATTGATTAGCCAGATGAGGCCTTAGTTTAGAGAAACAGGGGAAAGCAGAAAATGAACCAACAAAATGGAGACCAGCAGATGAAGGATTTCTGGTAGCAAGGAGGCTGTCATCCAAGTAGACATTGCTTTCTCTAAACTTTCCCAGCTCAAAGTCTGCCTCCACTCCTTGGGCAGCCTCCAACTGGGTGGAAAACAAAAGACCCATTGGCCCAGTTTCCCAGGGACAATACAATAAGCCTTCTTGGGCATTTGGTAGACACAAGTATCAAAATTATCTTTCCATACCTTTAAAACTAGTCCTAAGAGTCATCATCTTCTCTGTCTTTGAAGGAGCTTTGGGGAACTTGAAGATCCCTGCTTTGCCCCAGGGTGAGGCGGTCAGGATGTGGCTACTTTGGCCTAGGGTGGCTTTTGCACAAACTCACCTGTTCACAAATGGCGCCTGTCATAGTGACGGGAAACGGCCTGACATTTCCTCTGCCCAGATTCTCCCGTTTTCTTTGGCTGCTGAAGAGCTTAAGCTCCCTCTTCTCCTCCTCGTCCAGGGAATTACAATATCGAACCTAGAGACACGGAGAGAGCATAGAGAGATGGATCTCGTCAAGACTCCTGGACTGAGTCTCCAAGCTGCCCGGATGGACTTTTCACTATTAGACAAGATGGAATACGGTTGGATCAACCAGTGCTGCCCACATTTTAATGACCCCTTGACATGCAGCCATTTAAAGAAAACCTCTCTAAAGATCAGTGCAAAGTAAAAAGGGCTCAGAAAAACTAGGAAACTCTGGAGCTGCCCCAAACTCCTCTTCTGATGCAGGCTTGAAAAGCCCCCCAGTCTTCTCTTGGCAAGCCTCATTTTCTAAGGAAGCAAGACCAACCAACATGAGTCGTTAAAATTACTTTGTGTATGTAGTACGTGTGATATTTTACAATGACTGAAGCCACCCTCCTCGGCCTCCTCTCTAAACTAAGGAGGGCTAGGAGGCGGAGCACTAGACTTCTCCCAACGCTTTCCTTCACAGAGGGCAGAAACTGGACTCAGTTCATTCCTCTCTGCATCTGCTGCTCTGCCCAGGTTCAGCCCGACTGAACAAGATATCCCTGAGGCTGGTCTCCCCCGTTAGACTGTGAGCTCTCTGAGGGCAGGGCTGTCTTTCTTTTTATTAATTGTATACCCATCACTTGGGACAGTACCTGGCACACAGCAGGTGCTATTAAATGTTCACTGGATTGAATTTTGAGTCTTCACAATTAAAGAGAAATACAAACTGTATTTTTTTAAAAGGGAAGTGGAGCTGAAGAGGCTCAATGAAAGGGTTTACTGTCTTTCTAGATTATCCATGAACCTCGCATCCCTCCCTATTACAACACTATTGCTTATTCCAACTCAGCTAGTCTGAGGAGTTGCTGATTGACCCTCTAATGCCTGACGGTTCTCATATCTGACGCTCTCCTGTCTTGTTCAGGGGTGATTTCAGTGAAATGAAGCCAAGGGAGTGGTGGGGAGGGAGAAGTGGGGTCTCAGAAATTCCTTCCAAGGCGTTTTGGTGACGTGTACATGCAAGTATATTTACTTAGGGGTGTGTGTTCAGGAGAGGAAGTAGAAGGGGCTTGGTTTTTTGTTTGGATTTGCCTTTGGTGAGGCAGCTAAGCAGACAGTTTCACCCCTTCTCCCTTTGCCAAATATAGTAAGGCAAGATTAAGGAACACTCACAACCATGTCCTCTACATTCGGTCTATTGAAGCCCACCTAGGAGTCAATGTCAGACGGATGGCATCCACTCCTAAGGAAAACTTAGGAGTCAGAACACTTGAGCCTGAATCCTGCCTCAGATACTTTATCGCTATGTAAGGCATAGTTTCGCTTTTCTCATCTGTAAAATGGGGATAATAATAGCACCTACTTCACAGGGTTGTTGTGAAGATGAAATGGGATAACCTACGTAAAACTCTACAAATGTTGTAGTACTCTCTGTTAGCTATTACTACTATTAAATAATTCGAGTTGCATTCTTTCTTTGACAAGTACAGAATTTAATGGAATATTAAAGCTGAAAAGGCCCATAGATTCATTTAGTTTGACCCTCCTTAGAGATCAAATGACTTTTCCAAGGCCACTTCGCTGGCTGGTGGCAGGACCAAAGTCAGACCCCACTCCTGCTGGGCCTAGGTCCAGGGTTGTTTCTATCAAACCACAGCACACAGTTTCTGTCTACGATCAGGTTTTCTGATTTGAGGGAAGAAGTGGAGGGTTGGCATATTTACCTTACCAATTATCTTTTGTTCTAAAACGAGCATGCTGAATGGGCCTAATTTGCCCACTGATTTGCATGTATTAAATTGTCACTAACATGAAAAGGCAATTTGATGGTATCACTTTTCATTTAAAAAAAGCCCACAAAACCTAGTTCCCCATACAGAAACAGAAAAGAGAGGCCCTCTGATGAACAAAAAGAGAAAAGTAACTATGTGCCTGTACTCAAAAGAGACTGTGAGCAGCCCCACAACAGGCACTGAGGATTCATGGACAAACTTTTAAAAGAAGGTATGCTCTCTGAACTTGCAAAATCCTGCATACTCATTCCTGAATTGGCTCACTAGGCTTTATGTTTAAGTTTGTTTCTCAATTTTAAAGGGAAAAGGAAAGCCTATTTGGATGAAAATAGGTCTGGATTGAATGACAACAGAGACCACTGAGGGGGTATTGTCAGGAGAAGGCCCAAATGTCCACATTCAGGACAGCTCCCATCTCAGGATCTTACTTAGGGTCTGAAAATCACCCCTCTCCCCCCCCTTTTTTTTAAATATGGCAAGCCAAGATTTAGAAATGTTCAAGGATTTGGCCTTTGGGGGCCCAACTTGGGCGTAAGTGTCAGATGGATGGCACCCATCTCATAAAGAGATTTCTTTCTTTCATTAGATCTTAAGCTAGGACTTTTATATGAGCCTTGTTAACATCAGGTTGTAGAAAATAGCTTCTTTTTATGGTATTATCTCCCTTTCCCTCCCCCAGCATTTAAAAAGAAACTCATTTCCAGTTTGTAAATCCGGTTCCCCGGGGCATGCGGTGTCTTTAGAAGGACATTTCAAAATGCACACTCACAGGTGATTTCAAGTATCGGGAGTGTCCATGACCCTGACTTTTGTGTGTTAATAAGAAAAAATCTCTTTTCCAAATTTTCACCAAACTAAAAGATACGAATTCCACAGTGACAAAAACCCCCAGATATGCTAGTCATGGGACTCTAGGCAAGTTACATACCCTGTCTCACTTCAGTTTTCTCATTTATAAAATGGGGAAAATAATAGCACCTTCCTCCTCATGCTGTTGTGAAGGTCCAATGAGACAACATGCAGAAAGCACTTTATGATAAGCCTTGAAGTGTTATATAAATGCTAACCATGATAGGCTATTACTATAGTGTCCAGAATTACAAATCATCCCAGGAAAGAGCTACACACCCATGCACAGGTAATGGTGTTGAAAATTAATCAGAGCCCCAGTGCGTTTGCTAGGCCAGAACTGGCAGGATGGATTCTAACTAGCTCCAACATCTGCAGTTACCAAATGGACAGATTTTTCTTCTTAGATTGAGCAAGTATGGACATGAGCCATTGATTTCATTGTGCGCATGCTCCGGGTCATTAGTCAATCTGCTGCGAGAGACCACATGGGATAATACCCTCCAATCTGAACCCCTGGTTTAGATACCCCCCCCACAGCCCCCCAGGAATCTAAGCTAGTGTACTTTGGCTCACATGAACAAAACAGAAATAAAAGTCCCAGTTTTCTCTTTGGAGAAACCTCAAGTGGTGGTACAGGGATTACCCCCTCAATGTAATTACTCTTCCAAAAGATATGAAAGAGCAGCTTTCTGGAATGGTCTGTGACTCCTTACCTCATTGTCGTGTGGAGGCAGCTGATGCAAGAGCTGCTTGATCCTCAGCTTTTCTCCAGGACTATTGACATAGGGTACCTTCTCTTCTGGGAGACAGCTATAATACTGGTGAACCTAGGGGTCAGAAAACAGACAGCCACAGCAGTTACTTTCCTGACTGGTCCACTCAGACTGCACCAGAAGATCAGGACGTGGGGACTAACCATGCCAGCCAGAAAGTCCCTGGAACAAATCAACACCTGACCAGGTATGAACTGAGCCCTGGGGAATGTGTCTGTCATTCAGCAAAAAGCAAAGAAGCTTCCTCCTTGCCCAGGGTTGAGGTAAATCTAATGCCCCTTCCTGGCAGAAGGGAGCTGGGTATTCATGCTGGGGAAGGCAGGCACATGGCAGGGCTTTCTTATTGGAATTCCCGAAGGTCGGACTTTACCATTTTCTCAGGTAGACTCCAGCATGCTAGCGTGCGTCCCTGGCCAAGGGGATATGTCAGCACCTGTTTCTGCACTGGAGGTTCAAGCTGCTCCTTGGTATTCAAACACTTCTCGGGTATCTCAGCCTCCACCTACACCCAAAGCCCTCCAGGCCTTCCCCACAGTTGCAAGGAAGCACCCCAGGAGGCTAAGGGCTGCTAGAGCATTTCGCCCTGGCTCGGGCTCCCAAGCGTGCAATTAGAAATAATTATTAAGGTATTAAGTAGAATGAACTTCTGGGAATGCTCGTGTTCGTGATTTTTACGGATATTCTCAGGCTCTCAACGTTTGTCCGACACCCGTCTGGAAAGGCACCAACGACCCAAGGTTGTCAGATGAAAGCATGTAAGTTCTCAGAAACTTCACAAAACCAGTGGCGGCAGGCATGCTCCTTTATGCCAGAGTGTGGAAAACAGCAGGACAAAAAGAAAGGGATCAGAACAAAATGTTTACTACGGGATCTCTAGGAGGCCAGGAGAGATCCTCCTCGCTGTCCTGATGACATCATGGAAAACTCACTCTTCAAGACACCTTTATCATCACCCATGACTCCAGGAAAACAAGGTATCTGGTGGGGGCTGAGAAGGGGAAAGTCAGGGAGATCAAAGCAATTGGATTGGCTGGATCCTACCAAAGCTATGAGTTTCTTTTGTACGTGGTCAATTATTTTGTGTTAGGTGAAGAGCCTGGAAAAACCTTTATGCATTCAAGAAGCAACATTCTGAGTGGCGGGTGACCTCTTAGCTTTGAAATAACCAGCTAAAAAAATAAAAGAAAGTCATCTTTATGCTTTCACATATAATATATATATATATATGAATGTGTGTGTGTGCATTGTCTTAATAGAGAACCAAGGTAGTCTATAAACAAGCTTCTTATTCCAGAATCCCTGAGTTTGGAGTAGCGGCTTCTCCTGATATATCCCCAGGGGCATTTGCCAAGGAGAGACAGAGAGGCAATCCAGAAAGATGGCCCCAAATCACCTTATATTCTTCTAATTCATTAATACAGTACAGGGATTAACAACACTTGAGTTAACACACTCACACACACACACACAAACACACTCTCTCTCTCTCTCTCACACTCACACACACACACACACACACGCACACACAGCCCCCAAGTCATAAATTAATTTCGGACTAGAAGCTGACCACTGGCTAATCATCTGCTTATATGTGGTGTGGGGGGCAGGACACTGGATTTGGAATGAGGAAGGCTGGGGACGTAGGAAAATGACAGAGGAGAAAAACTCCCTCTTCCAAACGGTTTCCACCTTCTCTGCAACTTAAAATCTTAGAGGGTTGCCTGTGCCATTGGGAAGGTAAGTGACTTATTTGTTTGGGGTCACATAGCCACAAGTGCCTCGACCTCAGGTCTTGCTGGCTCAAGGGACAACTTTGCATCTACTACACCACGTGGCCAGGAAAACCTGGCTTTAAATTCAGCTCAGATACCTACTTGCTTTGTAACATTCACACAGCACTTCATGTCTCTCTGAGCCTCAGTTTCCACAGCTTTAAATGCAGGGGTCGACCTTGATGTCCTCTGAGGTCCCTTCCAATCCTAAGTCTAGGATGCTATGATTTAAGACCATACATCATGCCCTTTCTTTCCTCCCTTTGGAAGGGAGGGCTCCTATGTTGTTCCACTTGGGTAGTATAGCAAGTGAATGAATCCTGTCCCCTCTGGACCCTGGGGGGTGCGAGGGTGGCGAATGCCCTGTGCCTCTCATACCAGTTACCTGCCAAAGGGCCTTTGGTTCAACATCAGTTCATCAACTCCACAACTCCTATTATGTTTACATCACATTAGGAACAATCATTAATATTGAGTGATTCATTATTCATGCTGGAATAATAAGGATGGTACAATTACAGCTTGATTTTGTGTATCTGTGAATGTGTCTGTGTGTGCTCAGCTCAGTAATCCAAAGTCCTCCCTAGGGGCTCTTGGGAGCTTAGGAAGCTCAGGCAAATCCTTGTGCCCAGGGCCTAGGCCTATGTATGGCTGGTTGGGTTGTGCTTTTGCAAAATCTCCCCCAGGCCTGATATGCCCCAAATCAAACGGTCAGGACTTTGCAATAGCTTTTTTTTTTTTCATTTTAAAATGCAGGCGAGTGTGTAGGAGAATGAGATCATGACTATAAAGTACTGTGAACACCTCAACATGCTTTAGAATGGTTTTGTTATTATCATCATCATCCTTATTATTATTACTGTATAGTGTGGTATACAGATCATTAGCTATGGAATTAGGAATATCAATGATCAAATTATGCTTCTGACACAATCCCTCTCTGCCATGTATTTATTTTGTTTTTAATCTTTATTTACTTATCTTATTTATTTCTATTTTATTTATTTATTTATTTAGGCAATTGGGGTTAAGTGACTTGCCCAGGGTCACACAGCTAGTAAGTGTCAAGTGTTTGGTCAGAGGCCGCATTTGAACTCAGGTCCTCATGACTTCAGGGCCAGTGCTCTATCTACTGTGCCACCTAGCTGCCCCTCTATTTACTTATCTCAGCAAATATGACAATATTTTTAAAGTGCTTAGGACAGTATGTAGCACAATCAATCTTTCCTCCTACTCTCACTCCTTCCTTCTTTCCTGTCTTCCTTTTTTCCTTCCCTCCCTTCCTCCCTCCTTTCTTTCCTTCCTTCCCCTTCCTTCCTTCCTTCCTTCTTCCCTCTATAAGCCCCTTGCAAGCAAGGACTGTTTCCTCTTTTGTCTTGTATCTTCAGTGCTGAGCACAATACCCAACACATGGGGAGTATTTAATAAATAAATCAGCAAGCATTGTTGACTGACTGACTGACAGCCATTTAGGGCCACAAGCAATTTTCTAAGATTTAGATGAGTTCCCTATATCGGTAAAATCAGGGGTCCAGATAAAAAATATTACTAATCATTATTATTATTAAGCTCATGAAAATCAAACCCCAATACAGACCTAAATTACAAGATTTTATGAGTCAGTATTGACCTGGCCATCAGATAGAAATCAATGTCTATGGGCCAATTTCAAAATTGTTTAGACAATTTATTACTCAGATTGACTTTCATCCCAAGGCCATCCAATGATCATTGGATCACTGCCATTCTAGACTACAGAGAGAATCATAGAATGATAGATGGAAAAAAAAAAAACTTTGGAGATCAGTTAGTTCAAACCTGTCATTTCACAGATGAAGAAAATGAGAAACCTAGAGAAGCGGTGATACATCAAAAGTAATCCAGCCAGCTAGATAGTGAACAAGAACAGAACTAGAATCCATGACTTCTAATTCTCAATCCAGGGCATTTTCCATTTCACCATGACCTCTAGCCATGTCACAAGCCAGTCTGATTACTCCCTCATTTATTTATATGTTCATTTTACTAGCCTGAAGCAACTGGAAAGTGGAATGGACTGCTTCAGGGAAGAGTGGGGGGCTCCCTATTACGTCAGGTCTTCACAAAAAGACTGGATTACCACTTGTCAGGGGTGTTAGAGTTGAGATTCATTTTCAGTTAGGAGTTTGATTGGATGCCCAATGAGATCCCTTCTGACCATAACATTCTTTTATCTTTATCCTCTATTTGATACTAAATTAGTCAGTCGACAAACATTTATTAAGTGTCTACTATGCACTAAGTGCTGGGGATATGAAATTTTTTCCCTTTCAATCCAAGTGAAAAGCTACTGAGTACTTCCTCTTAATGTGAGGCTAGAAGAAAAACTGAAGATAATCAATGTTTGTTGATGAATCTAGTCTTTAGAACTGCTTGATAATCCAGGAAGAAAAATACATTCCTCTAGCACTGTCCAAGAATGGTCCCCTTTTCCCCTTGGCAATCTTAACCAGAGTATAGAAGGAAGCAGATGGATTGGAGAGAGAAGGCAAAAAATAGCTATCCTGAATTCCCGATCTGTTTCTGGCTGAATTCGGAAATGGTGAATGTGTTTTCTCTCCATCCTTCTCCATAATAAAACTACTGTATGGCCCAAAATAAATAGAAAAGAAAGCAACCAGTGAGGGGAAATATTCAGTGTACTTCCTGGCACTACAAAAATCCGTTTGGCTCCAGCCCTGAAAAGTCCTGTGTATGATTTCTTTTTGCCCAAACATATTTTACTCTCTAATGTCTGTGAGGAAATAAACAAGTCTATGGACAACAACTACTGGTAAGCTATCCTCGCCCATTTGAATCCTTCTTTTTGTCCTTCAGTTTTTTTGCTGATCCTGTACTCACCTCCAAAAGTCAGAGTGAAAGTGGGCACTAAGTACCGAGTTCACAGTCAGACTTGGACTTTGTCTAGGTGAAACCATCCTATATCAGGGTTTCTTAGCCTGGGACCCATGAATTTTTTGGAAAATATTTTGGTAACTTTATTTCAATATGATTGGTTTCCTTTGTATTCCTATGTCTTTTAGGCATTATTCTGAGGAGTCCATAGTTTTCACGAGATAGCCAAAGGAGTCCATGACAGAAAATGTTAAGGATATTTCTCCTAGGGCGACTTTTCCTTCACCAAGAGCACTTCAGACATCATGAGTTGGCCATCATGAGTATAGAACATGGTCACTGAGAGCCTTTGGTTAAGATCTTGGTTAATCCCTTGCAAATGGGAGAGCTGGCTGGAAATTCATTTCCTCTCAGAGTTGGGAAGAAATTTAGAGAGAAGAGAGTGAGGCTCTGGGGCCTCACCCAGTTTGCAATGAATTTGTGCTCCTTAAGAAGGAGCTGCTGATTTGACAGCATTTCTCCCCCTGGGGCACAGAGAGAGTCACATGCTGGTGGAGGAAACGTGGAGAAAGGGGAAGGGGGTGGGAATTTTGATTTGGGGAAAAGCACAATAATAATGACCTCTGGCACCAGATAGCCTAGCAGTTTCCAAAGGACTTCCATTCACTTCTGTTTGTATACCCAGACTTCACAAAAATCTAGCAAGGCAGGTAGGGCAGGGATAGGGCAGGGAGATCTGGGTTCAAATCTCACTCTAATCCTTATTCCCCAGATAATTGTGGGTCAGTCATTTAACCCTCCCAGAATTTTAGCTTCTTCATCTGTAAAATGGGGATAATCACACCTGCATCAGTGCCACCATAGGGCTATTTGTGAGGCTCAAGTGAGACCCTGGGGGAAAGAGTTGTGTACACCTTGAAGAGCTATTATTAGGTCAGGTATTATTATTGGGGAAACAATGTACATAGCTATGGAGGCAGAAATACAAGATCTAGACAGGGAAAGGAATTAGGTTTAAATTCTGCCCCATCATACTAGTTGTGTGACAGTGGGTAAGTCATTTAACCATTTGCCTCAGTTTCCTCATTGGTAAAATGGGACTTATAATAACACCTACTTCCTAGGGTTGTTGTAAGGATGAAATAAGAATACATGTATAGCACTTGATGATGGGGTGATGGGACCTGGACCCCTAAAAGGAAAAGACCATGTCTTTGAAAGCAACCCAGTCCCTGAATTTTCCCATACATTTCAGTAGCCCAGGTCACTGGCACCTCAGCCTAAGGCATCTGGCCCACCCCAGCCCACCTAGATCACTTAATTACGTT